ATTTAACAGTTACTTCGAGGCCATCAAAGAACATGCCATTGCTGGCAACTGCCCACGAAGAATCCAGATTGGGAAACCATCGAGTCGACGCAGGGGCGATGAATACTTGCCGACACCTCTTCCTTCGTCGCACCCACAGGCTTTCGAAGTCAAGCGTCAAAACTCGATGCTCTTCACAGTTCGTTGCTGCAGTGTGGAGTACTCGCTAAACTGAGCATGGGCTGGTTCGGCGAGCTGATCACTTGGCAGTCTCAGGAGCCTACGCGCCACCTTTACGACAGGCTACCGTATGCACTTATTTCGAGCTAGACCAAAAAACGCGCTGCATGAAATTGCCGTTGGACAAGAACGGTGGAGATGCGGGTGCGGTTGTAGGGTCGTCGACTTTGCTTGAGGGGGACGTTGTAGAGCAGGGAGGAGGGCCGGCCATCGGAGAGCAGGGTGCGCAGTGTAGCTACGTCGGGCGTTAGTAGAGCGGGGAGGACAATCACGCCGAACGTGACCCTTGTGGACCTCTCAACGGTTCAATGTTATGTACTGTAGCTCAGATGTGTCAATATTTCAGGCGATGCCACGCTTGTATTTCGACCCAACTATGTTGATCGCGCAAGCTGGGGTACGTCGGGTCCAGAGGTGTCTAAGCGATATCTTACAGAATTTGTAGTATACTCTGCTTCACAAACGAACACGCTGCTCTCAAGTGCCAGGTTGAATCCACCCAGAAAAATACCCGGTGTCCTCTGAATGGGGCCCTCAGCGTAGGGACAAGAACGTTTATCATACAGTTATGCCTGCTCGAAATAAGAACTTTGAAAAAAAGAACAGGTGCTTTGAGGCAACAATCAATAGGCATCGAGCCTCGGTCAACATAGGCGGTTCTTAAGTGCGGGCGCCATCTGTTGGAGTCTTGTCATTGCAGAGGAATGAATGAGTTCATCAATATTTTGTACGCCGCGTGGGATGCTCTAAAATGTTTTTCTTCCTACTCCTGCTCTCGCGTATTTCGGGGAGAGAGAAAAGAAAGGGAGCGAGTAATTGTTCAACAGGCTTCATGGGACATTGACTCTTCTTCCCGAATTCGTTTCAAAATGTGGCAGTGCTGCACGGCCGGAAAAAAAAAAAGTAAGTAGGCAAACTTCCAACGGGAAAGCAACCCCTGTGAAAACCCTTATGAGCAGACGGCTCACTCGGCAACACACCTCCGCACCTAGCACCGGCTTGAGAGGGCGAACGAGAGGCTAAACTGTCCAGTTTTCAAGAGAGGTATGTAAACAAGATGCCAGGGCACATTAGGGCATGTTTTATATGTCCAGTTACGCACGGTAGGGCGAAAAAGTTGTACTTTAGCTATAGCGTACCACCATGCAGCAGTTCCAAGATGAGAGAGGGAGCTCACACACGAACCGACCTGTGCGCAAGGTAGTTGTTTTGCAGCCTAATCATGCTGCCGTCATGTACCTAGGTTGTATTGCCACGTAATGCAAAAGGTTTTAGGCGATAATGTGTGGCAGGGGATAAGAATGGTGTGTTCAAAATTCATATATCGCGAGAGTCCACGCCTTGGGTCCGAACGCACCCTCTTGCACGTTGCGCATGTAGATCCACTGGATACACCATTCCCACCCCATATACGATGGAAATACCCGATACAATAATTCAACCTCAGTGTCAGGCTATCACGGCAAGTTTAAGCCAAGTTGGGCTTCAAGAGGGGAAGTAAGATTTCTCCAAGTTCAACTAATCTCGGTGTTTTGCCAGTACGAGCCGAACATGACCTACGGCGCTTGGTACAGACACTCCAAGACCGTGACAGAATAAGGCCGCAGCATCTCAGAGGCACGTATACAATCTACGTAGTTCAACAGGTTTCAGTCCGTGACGTTGTGAGGTGAATAAGCACGTCCATTGTTGTTGTTGGTGTTGTCTTCACATTAAAAACCGTTCCGATCGCTCTCTACCCAGTACCTTCGTATGTCCGTGCTTATACAACACTCGACGCGGTCGATTCCCGTGGTCGCAGGCTAACTTTACCCTAAAAAGGTACACTGAAATAAAATGGCCCCGAGGGGTCCGCAAGTCAATAGAAATCAATGACAGATATTCTGGAGTCCTCCACTCCCTCTGCGCGCTATGCGAGGTAATAACTGAGACTAGGGGTCACCATCACGGGCCGGAGAGAATGAGGTACACCCCCTTGGTTCAATCTTGGTACTTCACAACGCAAACAGAAACAAGGCCATCGGGCACAGAAAAAGAGAGAAAAAGAGAAAAAGAGAAAAAGAGAAAAAGGGAAGAAAATAAACGGAAACAGTTAAGGAAAGAAAAGATGAAATAAAAAGAGCGAGGACAAAAAGGGACCAGGCCGAAAATAACAAGACATAAGAGACAGAAAAAGGCACACGGTGGAGAGACCACTAACGACAAGCAAACACGCAAACATGGCCACCAACCAGCGATACATCATAATGGTACGTCATCACTAGTGGGGGGTTGGTGCAATGGTNCAAAAAAGCTTCCAGCGGGAAAGCAGCCCCTGTGGAAATCCTTATGATCAAGCGGCTCACTCGGCAACAGACCTCCGCACCTAGCACCGGCTCTAGAGGGCGAACGAGAAGCGTAACCGTCAATTTTTCAAGAGATATATGTAAAAAAGATGCCAGGGCACATTAGGTATGCTTTAGGGATGTTTTACATGTCCAGTTACGCACGGTAGGGCGAAAAAGTTGGACTTTAGCTAGAGCGTACCACCATGCAGCAGCTCCAAGGTGAGGGAGGGAGCTTCACACACGAACCGACCATTGTGCGAGGTAGTTGTTTTGCAGCCTAATTATGCTGCCGCCATGTACCTAGGTTGTACTGCCACGTAATGCAAAAGGTTTGAGGCGATGATGTGTGGCAAGAGATAAGCATGGTGTGTTTAAAATTCAAATATCGGGAGAGTCTACAAATACGCCTTGGGTCCGAACGCACCCTCCTTGCAGGTTGCGCATGTAGATCCACTGGATACACCATTCCCACCCCAAGATACGATGGAAATACCCGATACAATAATTCCACCTCAGGGTCAGGCTATCACAACAAGTTTCAGCCAAGTTGGGCTTCAAGAGGGCAAGCTCGATTTCTCCAAGTTCAATTAATCTCGGTGTTTCGCCAGTACGAGCCGGACACGACCTACGGCGCTTGGTACAGGCACTCCAAGACCGTGACAGAATAAGGCCGCAGCATCTCAGAGTCACGTATACAATCTACGTAGTTCAACCAGAGGTTTCAGTCCGTAACGTTGTCAGGTGAATAAGCATGTCTGTGCAGACGATCAGATCTTGTGCATGGCTTTCAAGAGGTAACGAAGATGCCAGACCACGAAACGGCATGCGCCTACGTAAGCTGTACGTTCAACGTAACATTGGTATCATTTTTGTATACCCTGGTCAGGCACTTAATGCATGGAAACACGGCCAGCATAGGTCGAGCTACTGCCAGATAAACCGTCGGAGACGTAGGCTGGGCCAACAGGCTTGTGGGGTGAACAGCCCAATAGCTCACCCGGGTACGCCACCGGCGGTGCCTCGGAACCAGGCTGGGAGCCCTGCTACACCCGGAAGCGTCGGAATGTAGCCGATACTAACCCTTCGCAAGCTCACGGAAGGCACGCTAACCCCGCGTCAACCAGTGGTCGACAACAAAGGGGGAGACGTCACAAGTGAAAGTCCACCGAGCGGGAGCAGGAGAGGGGGCAACCTAACCACCTCGGTGCGCACCCCCATCGCCGCGACAAAGCGCGACGCGGGAGATTCCGGAACACGTGTCCGTCGGACGGGAGGAAAGACCCGGTCGGGCAGGAATCAGAGGAGGAGGAGGAGGCCCTCTGATAGTGTTACGGGTGGGTGTCTACCCAATCTTGAGAGCAAGCTCGCGGAGGAGGAATACTACAGGCAGCAGAGCCAGGCGAGGAGGGAGGCAACGGCTCGTAGAGATCGCGCCATTGCCGAACACGAACGGCGAACGTCAGAGGCCAGGGGGAATCACTCCGTTGATACTCGGCGTAGGAGTCACGGCGGGAACCCAAGACAAGCCACTCTTCAGCCAGGCAAGCGGAATGTGGGTAGGAGACTCGGCGGTTCTACCTGTAGACAAAGAAGGAGCGAAGAAAGGCGTGCGATCGTCGGGAATGCGGATGGGTCAAACACAACCCTGGCACCGAGTGTAGCACATGCCCACACTGTGTAGTGCACTCGGCCGACGAGAGACTATGTTCGGCATACCACAGATCTCCGAATGACGAAGGTTTCACGCACCTCCGCGCGGACTGGTTAGGGCGAGCAGTAGCCTTCGTGGCCGCGTGGACGCAAGGAGAGAAAAGCCTGCCTCTAGCTCTCGTGCGAGACTTTAGACCCAGCAAGGACTGCCTCTGCCAACGCCCACACTCCTTCCTAGCTTTTTTCGCCAAGGAAGAAAAGAAGGCAGAGTTTCGCCAATACGGTAATTGTGGGTACCGGAAATCGGACAAGAGCCGCGTAAGGTGGTATCCCATGGATGCTGCAGGAGATCATGTCGCGGAGGGGAGTGCGGCAGTGAGTGACGGTGTTTGGTGGTGCGGCCGTTGCTGTCAGAACCGGTTGAACGGCATGGAGAAAGACGACAAACAGTCGGAAAACCCTGCGAGCATTACATGTGGGTCGGGGGCGAGGTGCCAACGCCTCCAGAGCCGTCGGGCACGGTGCGCATGATGGTGGATGAAGTCCTCGGTCGAGGTGATATCCTTCACTGACAGGACGTCGCCGATTGGCTAGCTGCTGAACGCGCGAAAGTTGGTATGCCCGAGATGAAAGGAAAATATGCAAGACACTTCGTCCTGGACTTGTTCACCAGCATAGCCGCGGCGCCCGGGAGCAATTCACGAATTGTTCGAGTCGACGGAGCAAAGGGAGACGCACGCGAGCGGGAACTCCGCCTGTTCCCAAACTCAATTCGGGACGAGTATCTCGTTGACTTAATGCTGCATGCTCGCCGTAACGCACCCACAGTCACCATCCAACCAGCTAGCGGATAAGGACGGGTCTCTGGAGTCGATCCTGCGGCAAGTCGAGCAGGACAAGGAGGACGCAGACGCAAGGATGTATGTCGTGCGAGCAGCTGGTAGAATTGTTCGAGCCGACGTGGAGAGTGAGCTTGCCCTTAAGAACACCCCCGGGACACGCGACAAGCATCGCTACGCCGATGAGTTGGCCATGAAAGTGAAGCCCCCAAGGGATCCTCTACTATCCACGGTTCCTCCGGCCTTAGTTGGATTGTACCAAAGCATGACGGATATGGCCCTGTATCGCGAGACCGGCGGCACCCTATCACCTCGGGCGGCGCGGAGGGCGAGGATGGTGAAGGAGAAAAGAGGAACGAGGTCAGTCAAGGAGCAGTGACGATGTCGTCAGGTCCACGGACCGAGGAACAGGCCAGGTATATCGACAGCCTTAACCGCGACAGGCGATCTACGCATCGCAGACGTGTAGTGATGTGTACGGTGGTTGTGAAGGCCATCTTGCGTGGTCGCCACATGGCTTGCCACGACATCAAAGGGGCTCAGTGGGCAAAGTCAAAGGGTACGTGTCGCGAGGTGATCAACTTTGTGGCGGAGCACGGTTTGTGGGCGACGACGTGCCAAATTCAGCACCGAGAAGATTTCCACGCGAGGTTGTTAGACGACAAGGACCTTCTAAGCCAGGACGCAGAGTGCGCCGCCATCCCTCTGGACAACTGTGATTTTGATCCGAGGGTCGGAGTTGGCCAGGGGGAGGGATCTTATCTTCCCTTCATCGCTGCGACGGCCTTGACGGTAGCGCCCGACGTAGGTCGAATGGACGACTGGTCGTTGGAAAGAGCCGGGGATCTCTTACGGTGGAGGACGTCATGATGGGGCCGGAGCCGGACCGGGAGGACGGAGCACGGCGGTATAACGGGTTTTTGGCGGAACTCTATCGCAGCGTGGTTGCTGAGGCGCGGGACTCGGAAAGATTTGCGCCAGACACATGCATGGAGTCTGAGCTCCGCAAGGTAAGAAACCATTTTTTCCCATTCTTGTATTCCTGCGATAACGGCAAATCACGACCTAGCGTTTTGCGATTGAACGTTGATTTCCCAACGATACATGGCGTTTTTGTCCATTCTGAGTCGCGCCCCCCGTATTATTCCTCAAACGCCCAGGCCATCACGCCCGAGGGAAATTGACCGCAGCAACTGCGATACGCGCCTATCCAGAAGGTTTCCACCAAGAGCTTCAGCGATATGAAGGCACCCATTCAGCGCATACTTGGTATCTGGCGTCGGGCCCCAGCCGGTAAGGACGGTGCACCATTCATACTCGGTGGGGACGAGGAGACATACAAGCACATGTACCACGTCATGGCACAGGAGCCGCGCGAGTACCGACAACATCATATTGGTGAAATTGAGAGCGAAGCATGAAATTGAGAGCGAGAGCCCAAAAAGCTAAAATTCGGATCCAGACGCCTCTTGCCATTTCTTGAGAAGTAGGGGGCGGGCTCTTCCAAGAAGCGGCGCAAATTGAAGGTCTCATCAGCAGCGTCACGAGGATATGCGTGTCATCGTCATCGGGTGCTGCAGCTAGGAGCTAGACAAGTTGTTACTGGATTTCCCCAGATTGGCTATTCCTGCCTCAAATTGTTGCAGGGCGGTTTGGCCTCGGGCGGCGGGCTCTGCTGTTGCTTCTGCTCGCCGCTGTAACTCCACATCGAGAGACTCCCACAGGATGACCAGGGTATCTGCTTGTAGCTACGGGCTGGCCCTTCAATTCAAGCTACACAGCAAGCTCCACCTCTCAGCAGTAGTCCAGCTGCAGCGCATCGCGCAATCTCGCTCTCAATCAGATGCTTCGCTCTCAATTTCACCAATATGCTGTTCGACAAGTCCGTCGATACCCCGGCGATTGGCATTTGCTGTTGCACATGGCCAAGGCGATGCTTAGGCGGTACTGGGGTGCGGGCGTGAAGTTCGTGGCGAAGGACTTGGGCACAGACGGGTCCAAGTCGGGGGGGGGGAGCAACTACCTTCGGGCGCACCACCACATAACGGCGTTTTGGGCGGCGTTTATGGCTGTGTCGAGAGGAATACTTGAAGGGTTTTCCGACCGCAGGGGACAGGCCAGTGGGAGATGACGAGGTAGTCCACGGGGTGATTCGGTGGATTGAGGCACGGGCGGAAGCTCACAAGACTTTCGCCGTGTGGAAGCAGTTCCTCCTCCACGACTACCCTGCGTACATCGCCTTCCGAACTGCCCTGCGTACGGGGAACTTCAGGCTGAGGCTTGATGCCCTTCACCGTATTGCCCCCATCTTTTACAGCACCGGCAAAGACGAGTACCAGTTCCTCGTGGTAGACCACCTGACGGAGGTGTCCCGTTATTCGCGCAATGAAATGAGGGTCGTATCCGAGCTTTTCTCCGTCTCACTCGGCCCTGATACGTGTGCGCAAATCGGCGTGGACGAGAGGCAGGAGGTGGCCAATCGTCTCCACAAGACGTTGACGAAAAGGATTCTTTCGAGCATGATAGAGAAGCTGGCACCGATTGCCCAGCTGCGCGAAGTCGCCATCGTCCACTTCGAATCGCATTTCATCGAAAAACCACGCACGGAAAGGGACTGTTGCAGAGAGTTGTCGGTGAAACGTGCGCCAGTAGTCAGGGCGGCGATCGACTGCTTGAGGGAGAGCCCGGCATTCAAAGGCGATGTTGGTAAAGACAAGGTCGTGGTGTAGGAACAGAAGCCTAACGCTGACCAGCCGGCTACAGCGCACGTTTTCGCCCGGTCAATTATCGTATCTAGTTGCGCACGGAGACGGACGGACGGGGGGGTCTTTTTTTTTTTTCGGCCAGGCTGGGTGTCCGTTGTTTATTGGCATGGTAAATTGTTCTTCGCGTTTCATCGGCAAACTCCCTGAAACCTATTGGGGTGTTGTGTGCGTTCGGGCCTGTGTCGTTTGTACTGGGTGTAAAAATGTAAGAAATTTGTTGTATATCCTTCAGTTCGGGCTTGATGTCGATAGGTTCGGGCAACTCTAGGGGCCCGGTCTCGTGTGCGGTGTCTGTGTGTAAGTATTTCCTCGCGGTTTCGACACAACCGATGCTCAGTGCACATTCTTTAACTTTGAGAAGAAATGTTTCAATGTGCACATAAATATATGCCGACCGTGCCTGCGTGCGACATCAGACAGCACAGCGCTATTAGTGACCAAACTCACTGGTACTGTAGGTGCCGTGTTACTGTCGCTACTCCGTCCTCCTTACCTGTTGTTCTTCGGGAATCAGGAAAATTACGCTGCTGTGTGAGGGTCCCGACTCGACAGGCACAAGCGTCGTGTGTGCGGTGCAACACCAGCTGAAGCAATTTCAGTTCAAACCCAGCTGACGCCATTCAAGAGTACTCCACCTATAGCGTATTGCAGCACAATTCAAAGAGCTGTATAACCACCACATCAGCAGCTAACATTATCAGTGCTCGGTGTTGCCGGCACCGTGGCAGGGCATAAGCACGACGCCTGTATGCGAACGCAAGTTTTCAACTTCATCCGTGCCTACCTCTCGACCCTCTGCATTAATCGAGTTGAATTCTCTTGTAATATGTATGCTCTGCGATGCTCAGTTCGTCTTCAATTTTTCGTGGTGATTGGTCTCGTGGTGGGCGCGTTCTCGTGCTTGGTCTCTGCCGCGGGTGCACAGCNACCGTGGCAGGGCATAAGCACGACGCCTGTATGCGAACGCAAGTTTTCAACTTCATCCGTGCCTACCTCTCGACCCTCTGCATTAATCGAGTTGAATTCTCTTGTAATATGTATGCTCTGCGATGCTCAGTTCGTCTTCAATTTTTCGTGGTGATTGGTCTCGTGGTGGGCGCGTTCTCGTGCTTGGTCTCTGCCGCGGGTGCACAGCACGCTGGTTACGTCGCGTATAGACTCCATACGAGTGGCACATGTTTTGGGGTACAGGGCTGCGAGTTGCGCCGCCAAGTGAAGCCTACAGTAGACGGAAATTGGCGAAACTTGGTTCCCTAGATAGCTGCTGGAATAATCTACTGCTGGAGACTTTAGCCTTGGGTGGATGTACGCCTGTCACGATGCTCTTTTGTGTAAACTGCACGGGTAGGTTTAGTACATTAGAGTATGTTTAGTAGAGTATGAAAAGCCGTACTAAACCGCAAGAGTATGTTGAGTAGAGTATCAAGAGCCATACTATAAAGTGAGCATGAGTAGAGTATGAAAAGCCGTACTATACTCAAAAAGATGTTTAGTAGAGTATTGAAGAGCCGTACTCACAAAAGTTTTAGTAGAGTACGAAGAGCTGTACTAAACGCC